CTCGTAGCTCATTCCATATCTCCCTCGCAGAATCTTTATGCATTACACTAGGATAGACCTCCTTAGGAATAGAATTTATGATCCACGAAGAAACAACATGGTTGCACCTTCTCCACGCACCGAACAACAGATCATCCTTATTCAGTTTGCTTATAGATCCATCAATGAATCCTTCTTTATTTTTAACACTCAACGCCATAACTACAGCTCGATTCCACGTCAAATAGTTGTCTTCATTGAGAACAACAAAAATGAGTTGCATACCAATGTTATCTCCATCGTGGAGATAATATGGACTTTCCGGATAAGAGATCAATCGGCTAAGAAGAGAATTATTATCTCTTGTTACCATTTCAGCGATAGGCGAATCACCAGATGAATTTGCATCGCCAGATGAATTCCCATGAGAACATTGACTTTCCAGATCTACTGCAACATTTGAGTCGTCATCCATAGTTGCAGAGGGATGTCAAATGTGAAGAAGAGAATTGGCGGGAGAAATGGTTGAAATGAATTTTTATATATTCCAAATGATTACAGCTCACACTTATATACAAAATCAGCTAACAAAGTCACACCTATTCTGTGATGGATTATTTACATAATGACATAAATAACCTTAGCTAATATTGAGCTCAACAGACGGCACCAACTATTCCCTCTGGTCCCAGGTTATTGACATGTACATCTCCAGCAAAGACAAATTGGAATATACCAATGGAGACCTCCCTCAACCTTCTTCGACTGACCAGTCTTTCCGACGATGGCTCATAGACAACACTTATGTAAATGGATGGCTCACTAACTCCATGGATTTCTCCCTTATAGACAACTTCATCCGTTTTCCAACAACTAAGTTGGTATGGGATACCATTGCCACCATTCAATGGCATTGATTTCTCCCAAGTCTACGACCTCCTGCGATCCGTGACATGCCTCAAACAAGGCGGCTACTTACTGGAAAAATTATATAATGAGCTTCAGGGCCTCTGGCGGGAGATTCACTTTTGTTGGCCCAATCTGATGGAGTGCCCCCTTAATATCAAGCAATGTAACACGTTATTATAGGAAGACTGTGTTTATGTTTTTCTAGATGGGCTCGATGACCACCTCGATAACATCCTCAATGTTGTTTTGTAGATAAAACCATTCCTCATGTTGGAGCAAGCCTACATTCATGTCCACAAGGAAGTAGTTTGCCAAGCTGTGACGACGACGAGAGATTCCAACAGATACTCGGTGCTTTTTTTTGGTCAAAGAATGAAAAAAAAATAGTACCCCAATCGGGATATCTACCACTGGGATCCTCTCCTTGAATTTGCTGCAAGCATGGGTTAAATAATAAGCCAAAGGCCACAGGGGATGGAGCTAAATGCTCTTATTACGAAGATGGCAAACATACCCGTGAAACTTGTTTCAAAATTCACGAGTACCCCGACTGGTAGCACGACTCCAAGCTAAGAAGTGTCTTGATAGACCTAATGGAGGCCAAGGAAAGGCTGCAATAGCTACAGCGAAAATTGAGCTCTCTCTTGTTCCCGTTGACTCTTCGGACTCCACTACATGTATTCTTATTTTTGGTTCCTGTAGCGATGGTGATGGGAACACCTAGATACTTGATTCTGGAGCTACATATCACATGATGTTCGATGCCAAAGATTTTTCTCAATATTATCCTTAACGGCACACTAGCATCGCCAATGCTAATGGGGTTATTTCCTCAATTACATGGGTTGACACTGTAACAGTGTCACCATCTTTATCTTTATCTAACACTTTACTTGTGCCCTTCCTTTCTCACAAATTATTGTCTATAGGCCGAGTTACCAAAGACCTGAATTGTTTGGTACTTATTTACCCTACATTTTCTCTTCTTCAGGATATTCTCACCAAGAAGATCATGTGTGGTATTAAGAGAGGGGGCTCTATTATATGGATGACTTCAGTGTGGGTGGGGCACATCATGCACCATCCAGGGGACCAAAAAGTACAACAGATTTTGCTTGGTACCATTGATTAGGTCATCCGTCATTTGGATATTTGCGGCATTCATTACCTAGTATATTTTTGGAATTGTCAATTTTAGACTTTACATGTGAAATTTGAATTTTAGCCAAGAGTTATCGTGTTACATATCCATTGAGTATGAATTAAAGTTATGTTCCTTTCACTTTAGTTCACTCTGATGTGTTGGGTTCTTCCCTAAAATCTTCTATGTCTGGTGTACGCTATTTTGTTATATTTGTTGATGATTGTACTAGAATGACTTGGCTTTACTTATTGAAAAATAAAAATGAGGTCTTGAGTAGTTTCCAATCCTTTCATAGCATAGTTCGAACTCAATTCTCTGTTGAGATTCGGATTTTGAGGGTCAGATAATGGTGGCGAATACATGAATGGTCGATTTCAAGATTATTTTAGAGACAATAATTTACTTCACGAGACATCTTGCCCTCAAACCCCTCAATAGAATGGTGTCTTAAGTGGAAAAATCGTCACATCCTCGAAACTGCTCTTGCTCTTCTATTAAGAGACCATGTGCCTAACACTTAGTAGTCGAACGTAGTTACCACAGCCATTCATCTCATCAACCGGTGCTACCAAGATTCTTGCTTTTAAGATCCACTATAGGTCTTGTCGACATTTGTTCACTTATCCACTATATTGATGCTCCATCCAAAAGTCTTTGGCTGTGTTGCCTTTGTTCATCTTCACAAGAACAAGCACACAGTGTAAAATAAAAAGGGATATTGGTGCTATGATCCCTCCACACCTATGTGACTGTGGATGTCACGTTTCTGGAATCTAACACTTTTTTCTCTCCTGGAGCTTCCAAATCATCCCTTCAGGGATAGACCGTGGTGAAGAGATGAGCTGGCTACTTAAGGACACTAATGGAGGATCTTCAGTACCTACTCAAGTAGCTTTCGAGGAACCAAATATTGAGCCAAGGGCATCTTCTGCTTCTAAAACTAAAGGTTAAATGATAGCTCCTCACTCTCCTGTATGCAACGACCCACCTCTTCATAATATCGCTAAGGTAAGCACACCACCCACATCTCAAATTTCTAACAATGAGGATATTCCAGTTGGTTTATGACCTACCTTTTGGGCACAATCATGACAAACGACCCAACAGATACCCTTCGAAAGTCAAGGAATGGAGATCAAGGTATCTGATTCCACCTATGTATCTAAGAAATTGTTTGAACCTCTTAAGACCTTTGCAAATGAACTTTCCTCATGCCATATTCCCACTAGTGTTGATGAATCTCTAAAAGACCCCAAGTGGGTCCAAGCCATGAAGGAAGAGATTGAGGCATTACTGAAGAATGAGACATAGGTTATCATGCCTCTAATCGAGAGACAGACAATAGTGTGGTGTAAATGGGTGTTCTCGAGCAAATACAAATTCAATGGATCAGTGGAACGATACAAGTCTACACTATGGCAAAGTGCTATACATAGCATTTTAACTTTCTCACCAGTGCATAAGTGCTATTAGAGTTCTACTATCCTTAGCAGCAAACTTCGACTGGCCATTACAGCAATTCGACGTAAAAATGTCTTTCTTCATGGTGACCTGGAAGAAGAAATCTATATGGATGTTACTCCAGGATAAGCTGTGACCTTCGATACCAAGGTTGTGTGCAAGTTATAACGGACTTTATACGAGCTAAAGCAATCTCTTCGGGCATGGTTTGGACAGTTGAGCTTGGCAATGAAGAAATATGGCTTTCATTAGAGCAATTTAAACCATACACTCTTTCTAAAGCATCGACAGGGTAAGGTCCTTGCTTTAATAGTTTTCATTGATGATATGATTATTACGTGAGACAAATCTGAAGAAATATCAAAGCTATAGAAGCAGTTAGCAACTGAGTTTGAGTTGAAGAATTTGAAAGGACTCAAGTAATTTATGAGAATCGAAGTCGCGAGATCCAATCAGGGGATATTCCTTTCCCAAAGGAAATATGTCCTAGATCTGTTATTTGAAGTTGGATTGTTGGAGTGTAAGTCTGTGGATACACCAACAATTCAGAATCACAAACTTGGAGAATACCCAAATCAAGTACCAACTGACAAAGGAAGATATCAGAGATTGGTTGGCAAGCTTATTAATCTCTCTTATACATGACCCGATATTTCTTCATGCATTGTCCAATGAAGATCAAATGGAGGCAGTAGTTTATATCCTTCGATGCTTAAAGTCCTCTCCTGGAAAATGACTTGTGTTTTCAAAGAACCATCACTTAATTGTCGAAGGCTAAATTTATTGCTTTGAACAAAGTACAATACATCTAAAATTTTCGTAATAGGTGATACCAAAACTTGAACCCAAGTTTTTTGTTTGTCCGAGAATCTAATGCTTGAAGGGTGTATTTGATTGTATTTATTTTTCATAGAAAATGTCAATTTCTACCTAAATTCCTACTTTGAAGTGTGATTGCCATTTTTTTCTATGGAAAATATTTTCCAACTTCTAAAATTATGCTTAATTTTCCTTGTTTTTAAGGAAAACATTTTCTTTGAGGAAAGTAGGTTTTTGTTTTGCTTAAAATAAGGAAAATATTTTCTTTTCTAGGATATATTTTCCATGCCAATCAAACTCGTCTTCAACAACTTTTGTAAGCACAATTCTACGAAATGAAATGGGGTCAAAATGCTTGATCAAATTTGAATATCATACCTTTTTTCCTTCTATACAGATTAATCTAGAGCAGAAATCCCCGGGAATCCTCATCTTCGGGACAAAAATAAATCTATCTGAGCTTCACTGTCCTATTTCATTTACAGTTGCAGCTGGTTTATCCCTCTAATCGCATTGCTGATATATAACTTGACAAATCATATATCAAAGACCTACCTATAAGAATGGAAATGAAAACCTATAATTGCATGGCACGATACCAGTCACTGTCCAGTGTCCATCCTCGGACGACCAACTGTACATTAAGGCTTACTGGCAGCAAGTGGAACATAGAATTACACTTGTAACTTCAGGTGTCTTCTGTAAAAATTCTGAAAATGAAACTTCGGAATCTCCTAGAATACTGTCTGGGATCGACCGCAGATATTGAAGTTGGGTCATATTGGAACGACTTGTATGCATGTTCGAGCTTCTTGCTAATGTCATAATCTTGTAATATATCAATTATACCGAAGACTAGGATGACATCAAAGTACTCCCCTGTTGGATCCCCAACCAGCTGAGGCTCACCATCATTTCTTCTCACTGTTAGTTCAGCTGATGCCAGCATATTTGAACCTAATCGAACGGATGCCCACCTGCCAAACTCGACTGAATTAGTAGTGATACTTGAATTCAAAAACAATTAATTATTTTTATCAATAATGTACAGTTTCTACAATATGAAATATCAGCCTCGTTAACAGTATTATGTCAAGGATATAGTGGATAAATTATGAAAACATAAAATAAGCCTAGCAGCAGCTAAAACCATTTTCTTGACTGAAGGGACATGTTCAAGATTAAACAGGTTTAAGAAAGCAAGATATGGCTGGAATCCTCAATGCAAATTGAGGAGAATACTTCTCATTATATATACAACGTGTACAAACATGTAAGCCTATAAAATAGGAAAGGAAATGTATACAATGGTGTAATCCTATAAAGAAGGAAATAGCAATATTGACAAGAATAAGATCAGCTATAATGAAGGTCAGAATCAGTAGATGATTCTTCCTTATCAAAGATTATATATATGTTTTACCTGGTAGGGTCAAAGAGAATATTCAAATCTGCCCTAGTTAGTCTGGGAGTTGCTCCTTCACGCCCTACGTTCGCTGCAAGTTTTCATTAATCTCCCCATTTAAGAAAGTTGTCAATGAAAAAAAAAAAACACAAGTGATCGAAGAATGTTAGACATTTTACCAACAGGAGTCTGGGCATTGGAAACACTAGCCTCAGTCGATACAGGTTCCCCTGTGTGTGATATTTCCCTGAAGTGAATACCAACCAAAAGACTGTAATCCATAATTCTCTCCTGTTCGAGAAAATCACAGTCCCTGTCCACTTGCCTGCATAGCATGAAGGTCATCTAAGAAAGGAACTGTATAAGGTAATGACTAAAACTTCTTATCCATGATTTGAACTTCACCTTCTGATTTTAATTGTATTCATAAATTCATGTTATCCAATAGAAATAATAATTTTATCAGATAAGGTGCCAAAATAAGAAGTCAGGAAAAGGAAATATGAGACTGAGAGAGTTGGTTACCGGCAAAACTCTTGGAACCAGGACTTCTGCAATCTGAAGATAAAATTAAGATCAAGGTCCTTGAGGGTGGTGGTCGACTCAATCTCAGATTCAACCTTCTCAGTTAAGCGGCCATGGGAAGAACCCTTCAAGTCAAAACGTCGGTGAATAGCATATTCGGTGCAGAACAAGTTTCCCATAATGACAAATCGCACCTGCTCATGAATCCCAGGATAATCCAAAGTAAGGCTTTTGATATCATGGAAGTTCACAGTTAACATTGAATCTGATAAATGATAAATGGAATGCACTTTTTCTGAACTACCTTCTTTTGTGCAGGTCCAGTCATCTTCACACAATGAAGACCAAAGAATTTGGTTACCAGGGTGTTTTCGAACGCCCGTATATGATTGTAGTAAGCTGGAAGCATTCTCTTAAGCACCTACAGTGGTATTATCAAGTAGGATTACAGGTTTATTTGAATTTAGAACAATGAAATTACTTCTCAAAATGTCTAAACGACTTGGTCAAGAGAATAAATGAATTGGTGACATGAAAATCCAGATTAAGCTGGTGCGTTTGATTACAAGGGTGGAAAATGGGTGGAAAGAAAATGTTTTACAGGGAAAATGTTTGCCTAGAAAATGTTTTGCAGGGAAAATGATTTCAAGTGTGTTTGATTGGTATAATTTTCCACCTGGAAAATTTTTAAATTTTTTATTCGTTTGGCTTTGTTTTACATGGAAATTGTCCATTAAAGTGATATTTTTTTCTACAATTAGTTATAAAATTTGTTTCCATTGCCAAAAAGTAAAAAAAAAAA